GGAGAACCAGGCCTGTCACGCCACAATACCCATCTTCCTCACTGTTTGAACAGTTGCAGAGTGGAGTTTACAAGGCCCTCTCCTGAGATATACATGCCCCCTGGGACAGTGTGGTCTTGGTCTACGTCAGCTCTGCCAAAGCATACATGGTTTTAATTCGACCAATACTTGGTCGAGAACAATCTCCATTTTTATTGTGCGCTATGGAGGGAGAGAAGGAAATGTAGAACCAAACTGACTTTCAACACTGCTGTCCATTTCTTCCCCTCCTCACCCCTGAAAGATGGTTCCTGCTTGAGCCTCTGAACCTGATCCAGTCCTGGAGAGGTTAAACACAGTCAACACAGTGGCCAGTCCCGCTCATGACTGGCACCGGCGTTCTTGTGCCCAAGTCCTTATTGTTCAGAGCCTGCATCTCCACCCAGATGACTTGCCTAGTGTTCTGGTTCCTCTGAGACCACGGCCATGCGCTGCTTTATTCACTCTTGAGCAGCAAGGTCCTCTGTCAGACGTGAGGAAGCACAGGTCGCTTCTTCCCGGGTCCCTCCTGCTGGTGGCTACACTCACCCAACCCCTTGCTGTCGGTTTCCACTGTCTCCACCATCTGCTCAGGCCTTGTCCTCCTAGCACTGGACAACCCCCCAAGCAACTGCCCGTCCCTAGGAGGAACCTGTCTGGTTTCCGGATTCTGGCCCCTGTGTGTGTGGTCTGATGGGCCCCACTGCCCATCAGACTCTCAGTGCTTGCTTTTACCCCATGAGATTTTAGATACGCAGATGCCTGAATTTCATCTAGATTACTTAAAACAAACTTTCCAGAGGTATGTCCAGGATACTGGTATTTAAAAGAATTCTCCAGATAAGTCTCATTTGTACCCAGGGAGGAAAGACACTACTTTATATCAATTTCTCACAAATTTCAGTGTGCATACACACAACCTGGGGATGTTGTTAAAATGTACTTGCTGGTTCAGTTGGTATGGGTAGGGCCTGAGAGTTTCAACTTCTGAGCAAGTTCCCAAGTGATGTCTTTGATGTTGGTCCATAGGCCACTCTTCACGGTAAGGCTCAGTGGTTCTCAAAGTGTGGCCAAGAACCACCTGGGGACTTGTTAGAGATGCAAAATTCCAGGACCCTCCCCAAACTTACTAAGTCAGAAAGTGGGGGTACGGCCCAGCAACCTATGTTTTGACAGTTTGAGTCCCACTGGCCTAGATGGCACTTCCCAATAGACATTCATGCAAGCCACATATATTATGTAAAATTTCTAGTTGTCAGTTTTAAAAAGGAAAAAAAAACAGGTAAAATGAATTATAACAAAACTTTTTTAACCCTATGTGTCTGAAATATTATCATCATTTCAACATATATCAATATACAAATTAATTTGGTAGTATACATACTTTTTCCATAGTAAGTCTTCGCAGTCCAGTGTTTTTTACTGTTAAATGCTATCTCAGTTCTTACTGGCCACATGCTAAATGATCAATTGCCACATGAATCCACCATATTGGACAGCCAACTCCTACACTTATAATGATAACAGCATGAACTTTTATTGAATGCCTGCTATGTATCAGCCATTACTTAGCCAAGCATCTTATGTGCATTATTTACATAAACACTACCACAACTCTGGGGATTGGTGCTGTTATTATCCCCACGGTACACAGAGGGGGGGTGGTGCCCGAAGCCCTATGTGGTGTTTCACCAATATAAGAAGCCCACTTTAATAGAAGCATTTCCCAATTATTTTAAATCTACTTATTTGTTAAAAAAAAGAAAGTTAAAGAATACAAATCGAATCATTAAGATGACTACAATTAGTACAACTGTTAAGACATCAATAGCTTATAAAAGGCATAGTAGGTGCATAAGTAGAAAAGTCCAAATTTATTATCCTCTAACCTTTTAAAATATGCCTAAGGTCCAACATGCACTTTTCTGTGACATCAAATCTAGTGAGAGGTGCTATGGACAGGCTGGTTGGTCAATGGGACCCTTGGGGAACAAAGGAGACCTTTGGTGAGTCCCATGGCAGGATAAGATATGTCCTAAATGGAAGCAGCTAGCAGGGTCATAATCTGTTCATTCAGGTACAGATTCTAATACAAAATGACTCCAACAATAAAACCATGCACCACATAATGACATGTAGATCAACGATAGACCTCATATACAATGGTTGTCCCATAAGATGACAATGCAGCTGAAAATTTCCTATCGCTTGGTGATGTCACAGCCCTCGTAGTGTCATAGCCACATGCTAATGTGTTTGTGGTGATGCTGGTGAAAACAAACCTCCCACCCTGCCAGTTATATAAAAGCATAGCTCATACAATCACGTACAGTACATGATACTTGATGATAATAATAAACGACTATGTTACTGGTTTATGTGTTTACTATACTATACTTTCATCGTTGTTTTAGAGTGTACTTTTTCTACTTATACACAAAACGGGCAGCATCCCACCTAGCAACTAGAAAGGGGGTTGTGTACAATGGAAGGTTTTTATAAGAAGAGGGTGGGGCAAGGGAGCTATTGAAAAAAGAAATGATTGTTTTGGGGCCAGGGCACCTTTCTTTGGGGGGACAGAGGGGAAGGGTTTTTTATCATGCAGGTTGCCTCTTCTTTCCCTGAGGGATGGAGAGGGACCACAGTGACAGGTAACCTTACTGGGGCTTGACCAGAAAATTACAGAACGGTTGATTAAGATTCCTTTTCTGGAAGAGGTTGAAATTGCAATTAGATCAGGTATTAATCTAGGTTTGTTATCATGGGCTTTTATCGGCAGTGATGCCATTTCGGGGCCTGTGGATTTTCTTTAACACCGTCAAACAGTGTGGCATGTTACACAGGCAGCAGCCTCATACATCTCCTGTGTTTACCGCATCCCTTGATAGCATCATTTTTTTCTGGTGATTGATATCATCTCAATTTGTTTTGCACAATAACCTGCTGTACAGGTTTGTAGCCTAGGAGCAGACAGCCTAGGTGATTAGGACGCTGCTCCATCTAGGTTTGTGTTAAGTGCTCTCTGTGATGTTCGAACAAGAACGAAAGCACCTAAAGAAGCATTTCTCAGAACACATCTCCATAAGATTGTAGTTAAATGCGAGGCAATGTATTGCTGTGGGAAACAGGCAATTTGGAATTTAAAAATAACAGCTGATTTGCTAGTCAAATAGTTCATCTTTATTAGTTCCCGTAACTTCCATTTTTCTCAAGGAAGGCTGATATTTAAATGCATTTTCTTTTTATTATAAACTACTATTAGGAGGAAAAAGTAAAAACAATTTAAAACGTTCTGTCTGAGGCTAGGCTTCCATTTTTTTTGTCAGAATTACCATTTATCATTTTGACCAAGTAATGTAAATATCCTATTTCAAACTGACAGATAACTAAGACATATTAACCTATGACCATTTGAAATAAATGAATGGGAAAAAATGCATTATCCTACAGAGATTTTTTAAAACCCTGCTATATGTATTTTTAAATAAAGTAAATCTTATTTTAAAATTTGATTAGATATTTCAAACTTAAGATGTCATTTTTTATATTTAAATATCTGCATACCTTTAATATAAGTGTATTACGTTGAAGGATTTCCTATTTTACCATGGTACTTGAAATAGCAGTCATATCTTTTTTTTTAACATAGCATGCATCATCCTCAGGATTTTCTATAATCACTTTCAGTGTCTCTCTTTAATTGCAAGGAAAGAATTGGATTTGATCTGAGTGTCTAGTAACCAACCTTCATCCTATTAATTATAAACTATCTCCTGGTGGTTTTTATACTGGACTAAGGTCATAGAATCTTTCATCTCTCAGCAGAACTCATTGACTGCTAAGCATTGTCTTCGTTATGGGGACTGGGGAGTTGAAAGGACTCAGGGTTTCATCCTCCCAGAATAAAGGTTTTTATAAAAATACCTCAGTGTTTCCTTTGTAGGAAGCAACTAACTTTCCTTCTTCTTAAGGGTGTAAAAGGCAGAATGAAGCAATGGAAACCAGGAGTTGGTCTGATGATGCATAGCATTTCCCTTCAGTCATACTATAAAGAGATCTCATCTCCAATGGCTATGGCTTGAACAGCCTCATAGTGTGGAAAAAAAAAAGAAGAAAGAAACTGTGAACCAATTCTATCTTTATTCTTGCTGCATTTGTGTGCTGTAAACCATTGGAAGCAAAGATGCTATATATTTTGCCCGCTCTATTCTTGAAGTGCCTGGCATATACTAGGTTAAAGAGTACTTCTCACAAATATTTGCAGAATGGATGCATGTATGCATGCATGCATGAATACAACTTCTAGATCTTAATTTATAAGTCTAGAAACAAAATAAAGGCCCTAGTTTGCTGGCCATTGTTGGTGACTCAATCTGGATTATGTCTTCGTTGGCCTTCGTGGGGAGAGCAGGGGGAATTGGTGTCTGTCTGCATCATGTCACTGAATGGTCCCCAGTCGCTGCCAACAGATAAGAAACGTCAACAGCTTAACCAAGTAGCTTTCAAAAATAGCATCCTTGATGAAACTGGAAATGTGGGTGCGTGCTAGAAACAAACCATTTGCCTTCCATCTGAAGAAAGTTCGGCTAACCACAGGTATACCTACCACAGAGATGGAACATTTGCTTTTAAGACCCATATGTAAATGAGCAAGAAAATATCAGATTGAAAGCCTTCCCTTTCCATAAGGCACGAACAGAAGTCTTATTTTCAATGAATCTGGTAAATCATTTTGGAAAAAAAACAACAACAATTTGGGGATTATGGCTAGGCACTCTGTTTCTTTAAGATTCCAGTCAGGGTTTTTATTTGTTTGTTTTCAAGAGCGCTGGGCAGTTTTCCCCAACATTTAAATGAATATTTGCACCGTAAACCACGTTGTTGTGGGTTTCCTGGTTGGTGTCCTCCCCCACCCCTCCCGGGTAGGGGATGGGGGGTGTGGCGATTCCGACTAGATTTTTTCTTCCCTTAGCGAGTCCACCACGGCTGCTGCTAATGCTGAAAATAGCTCAAAGGCGCTCAGAACGGTAGCACCACCCAGCAGCTGCGATCCGTTCGCTCCCTTATTTGCCTTCTCTCTGGCCTTTTTCCCCCCTTCAGACACTTGGATTGGGACTTAATCTGAAATCTCTGGAGTTCAAGACCTTCTGAAAAGGGCTAAAGAAACAATCTCTGCATGTAAAGGCCACTGACTCCTACTTCCTCTGCGCAGAGCGACTGGGAGCCCGGCTGCCCCGAGGTAAGAGTTTTTATTCTACAAGGATTTCCTTGGTTCCTGGGACCTTTCTGGTGAATGCTTTCGAAATAAATGATTTAGAGTGAAAATAAGCGGAGGGCTGCGAACGGTCTCCAGGTAAACAGGGTGTCCCCCATTACAGCAGGAGCCGCTGTGCATGGGGAGAAGGGGGGAGGATGAGGGGGGAGCGATTTTAAACTTTGCTTCACGCTCTCTGTCCCCCGCCTGTGCCTGCGCTGCCCAGACCTCCCCGCCGTGACCCCACGCAGCAGCCCGCCTGGCAGGCACCACAGTGTTGGGGTTTTTTTTTTAAGGAAAAAGATGCAACCGCCCGAATAAAGAAAATCCATGAGTAATTGTTCCTGAGGGACAAGGAGCAAGCTCTCTTTTCTGTGGTTCTCTGGGCGATCGCCCCGCGCGCACTCCTAGCTGGCCGCGGAGCCGTTTGCTGGGCTGTTGGCTGTTTGTGTCTTCCTGGCGGGGTTGGCTGACCCGCTGGGGCTGGAGGGCTCCCTCCCCGGCTGGAAGTCTTGCCGGCAGGTTTCTCGCACGTGACGATCTAATATTCTGGAGAGCTCCCCGCGCCTCCCCGCCACCCCTCCGCGTCCGCGCGCTCACCGTCCTGCCAAGTACTTTGATCTGTGGACTTTAACTTCAAACACGGCGTTGGCTTTGATTGTGGGTATTGACTGCGGTCGGTGAAAAGTCTTTTTGTTCGGTGCGTCGGAATCGCTTCCTTGAGGTGATCTCTTGGGCTTTGGTTCTCCCTCTGCTACGTCTTGGGTTTTACGTGCCCGGAGACCCCCCTACCTGCAGGGAAAGGCTGTGTCTCCCGGCCAGGCTCTCCCACCACCGAGACTGGGACGAATCCTGCCCCCCTGTCCCCCTGCCCCCCTGCCGGCAGCGAAGGACAGTGCAGAGCCCGGCTCTGTCAGCACCCCCCACCCCACCCCCCACCTCTCGATCGCCCGCTGCCTCAAAATCACCACGTGTCTCGAGGCCTAACTGTTGCCTTTTAGCATGAACACAGATAGATATCCTTGGTATTTACTGATTCTCGTTTCCAAAACAGTCTATTGATATCGCAGATCACATGTCAAAAGAAAGCATGCATGTTAAACACAGAGTGATCTTCTGGGTAACTTTAAAAAAAAGGGGGGGGGGAGAACAATTAAAAAGAAAGAAAGAAGGGGGAATTTTTTAAAAGGAAAACTAGGGGGGAAAAAAACCCTGGGTAGCCAAAAGCCTGTTATGCCAGTGAAACTTCTGCTGAATGAGGGATAAGGAATGAAAAAAATGCATTTCCTAAAATAGGCCATGTAGCACTTTCTAGCCATTCAATCAACTTTTAAGTGTTTTCTTTAAAGAAAGTTCCTGTGTGTGTTACACTTGTTCGTTACCCTTTTCTTCCCTCCCCTCGCCCCCTCCCTCAAAGCAGAGAGAGGGAATTTTCAAAGTCCTCAGCCAGATACTCAGTCTGACTTTGCTGGCAAACTGTCCCCACCTGTTCTGTTGAAGGTTAGGGCTAGAAGGAGCCCAATGCTGTCCGGGGGCTGTTGAAGTCCCCGGCCAGGACTGGGGCTCCTGGGAGCTGGCACAGTGGGCTCCCCGCACTCTGCACCTTGCTGGGAGCGAAGGGAGCCGGTGGCCACAGGACAGGGTTTCAGAGGGGAGGAGCTGGGGAGAAGGCTACGGGAGAGGTTCCTGGGGATCAGGTGCAATAGAGCCTCTAGAATGTGGACTAATAGTAAGAAAACTCAGAGATGTTCAGTCCAGTTTTTATTTCCAACATCTGGACATTTAATTGCTAACCCCTCACCCCCCACTTCAAATCTGCCTTCTAAGGAGCATACTAATGATCACATTTCTGTGATGGGTCAAAATTTTAAATCCTCCAGTTATTTTAAGCGTGTACTTCCCTGCCTTTGGGGGGCTAGTATGCCACCCCCCCCCCCTGAGTACTAGGGAGCTCTGATGTGGCATCGCTGAGTGCAAATGTCCTGTCACAGGCAACACAAGTTCAGGTGCAGAGTCCAGTGGCACCTGGACGACATGGGTCAGGAAGGTGTCAGACGGCCATTCCATTCTCGGTGGGCAAACCATTGTTCCCTGTGTTGCTGCTGTTGTTTTGTTCCTTTGTGTCTCTTCACCCCTTCATTTTCCTCTGAAACTGGATTGTTTGAACGTGAAACTCCAGGTGAAAGCTCGCCAAAGCCACCGAGTTTCACGCAGCTTCCACATGAAAGGATTCTACCTGGCCTTGCTCGAAACTTGGCCCATGTTTTGCCCAAAGTTTCGTGAATGTCAGCGAGGCTGGATTTGAAACCTAATCCAAAGCCAGGTGACTTCTAGGGACGTGGAGGCTTCCCTGTCTGAGTATAGAACCTGTCTAGCAAGGCCGTCCCTTATTTTCATGCCGCCCGCGTCACTGCATGGGTACACACGTTTTTTCTTCCCCCAAGAAACTCCCATTTGTTTTATGACATTTGAAAGCCAGGTTCAATCCTAATATGAGTTTTTATAGCTGTGGTATTTAAGCATTGGCAACTCCGAGTCTGCATTTTAAATTCCTGCACAGCCTGAACCACAGTGGTGTGAACATGTTGGTATAATTCAGCTGAAGGAAGTCCCCGGAGAGTCCTGGAATGTCTTTCTTTGCTTAAATATACCTCTGTGCCCGTGAGGAACAAACAGTAACATTTTGTCCTGGCCCGTCCGCTTGACAGTATGCTTTTTGTTCGCGCTCCAAAGGTGGTGTCAAATATATTGGTGGAAAAAAATAATAAACTTCCAGCTAATTTTTTTTTTCGCCTGCTCAAGTGATATACTCCTAGGGAAAATAGTAAGCCTTGAAAACTTCAGTACTATTATTTGTAATGTAGACTGAGACTAAAGGGGTACTCAGCAGAGTCCATTTCCATCAGAAAAGGGTGGTGACTTAGAGCTGATGTGTGTACTGAATGGTCAGACAGGGCGAGGTTGTGAAGGTGTGTGTGTGCTGGTGGAGGTAGAGGCGGGTGGAGAGGAAAGGCGATGTGTAAACTGTGTTCAGCAAATCTGTCACGTCTAAAACAAAAATAATCAAGCCCAGGATCCAAAAGCATTCCTTCCTTCTGTTGATCATCTAAATTTGTGTTGGCTGAATGTTGCATTTTGGGGGGTATTATTTTTTTTTTTTAATTGAAGACAGCAAAGATTACATTCTGATCATTAGGATTCCAGAAATGGCAAATAACCTCCCATGAAAATATGACCAATTGGGAGACCCACGCAGCTGTAAATGAAGCTGCAAGAGCCAGTCTCAGAAAGATCACGGGTCTGTGCCCACTAGAGATGCGAAGCCCAGGAAACCATTTGATGTGTCACGTTATTAGTTGGAGGGTTTCTGAACTCATTCGAAGAATTTTCATAAAAATAAATTTGTGACCTCGCTAAAGATTTAGTCGGACTGAATTTAGTGAGATTTAGAGATAGTTATTTATTACAAAATTAAATTATGAAATTTCATTTTGAAAATTTTGTAGTCAGATTTTTGTTTCATAAACTAGGCTATTAAAGATGCAGTTTGCATTTTAGCAGGTGATTTGCAAAGTGACTGTCATTGATCCCATACTACGTAAAGCGTTTGAAAAGCTCACAGTAACAAAACTCGCGGGTCCTCCATGTAGGAGCTGCACTTTAACACTGACTTCACTATTCATTGCGTAGCATTTACCAACATACCTGATTTTTATATCCCAAAACTAGTGCAATGAGTAGAGGAGAGGGAGATGCTCAAATAAAGGTACTAGAGAGAAACAGGAGAAAACAATCAGGACCATCTTGCAAGGGGGTTCACTAAACACATAAAGGTGGAAGGAGCTCAACATTTTGAAAACAACCATCACCCTGGTTGGTTGGAAAAGAGAAAGGGTAAAATACCAGGTGGCAAATAAACACCAAACTTGTGCAGATGCAAACTTGCTTTAAAGCAAAATGTGATCTTCGTTCAAGAATGACCACACTGGTCATTTGAGAATGCAAAAATCAGCCTCTGACACATCTTCTCTTGTGCTTAATTTACTGTCAGAAAATGGAGTCCATATAACACTTGCCCATTCCACAAGGATATATATCTATTTTTTAAAATATATTTTTATTGATTTCAGAGAGGAAGGGAGAGGGAGTAGAAACATCAATGATGAGAGAGAATCATGGATCGGTTGCCTCCTGCACGGCCCCCACTGGGGATCGAGCCCGCAACCCTGGGCATGTGCCCTTCACTGGGATCGAACCCAGGACTCTTCAGTCCGCAGGCTGACGCTCTATCCACTAAGCCAAACCAGCTACGGCCACAAGGATATATTATTAAAACTTAAATGTATAGACGCATGGCATTTGTGTTCCTAAAAGAAAAAAAAATTAGTTTCCGTCTGATCAGACCATGATGTCACAAAACAAAGTCCTCCCCTGATAGACCAAAGAGGATTATTTGCCTGAAACAGATAAACAGTCATTTCCAGGAAAGTCATCATTCTCCACCTAAACTTTTATTTGTTATTTGGATGTTATCATTTTCTCTGAAATAATGCTTTATCATTACAGTGCCAAAACACCTCAAGGATCCCAAAGCATTCTCTCAGCTACCCAAGGTGGACTGTCAAAAAGATGTGGGCATTTCTTGTAGGTTTATACGTAGACAGTGTTGTCAGGACACAGGTCCCCTTAAAGCCTCTCTCATCCTAAGCTTCATCATGGAGTAGGAGACCCTGGTGACCCTCTGAACCACTCTGATCCCCAGGGGACAGTGCAGCCCACTGGGGCTTAAGTTAAAGTCGAGAACAAAGAAGGCAACTCCTCTTACCTCTGTCCTTGGGCTGAGGCCTCCCTACATCTCTTGCTCTAACTTTTCTTTTTCTCATGGCATTATCCCTCTTTTCTGTTATTTCCACATCTCTCTCTTTTTTTAAATAAAGATTTTTTATTGATTTTTAGAGAGAGAGGAAGGGAGGAATGGAGAGGGG